TTCTGAATAAATATATTGTGATGAGTCTAAAAGATCAGGTGATGCCTGTGTTCAAACAGGCAAATTTAATTTATGGACAGATGAGTCTCAATGATTAAATTAACCTGGTTTAATGAATTACTGCCTTTCAGTGGAGCTGTGAAAACCGACTGCATTGTGCTTTAGTCCCTTGCTTTTTAAAATAATTATATTAAGGGAAAGCAAACATGTTTGGTTTAGAGTGGAAAGGCTATTAACGTGGTCAGTTCTGATGGCTCTGCATGTGCATGGTAACTCATTAAACCACAGGAAGGTAATTCTGAACTCTGAATTTCTGATGTCCCAGAAAATTTCCCCCCAAAATTAGTAAGTACTTTTTTCAAAGCCAGATTGGATGGGGGATTGAGCAACTTGGTCTAGAAGGAGGTGTCCCTCCCCATGGCAAGAGTGTTGGAACTAGATGATTTTTAAGGTTTCTTCCAACCCAGGCCATTCTATGATTCAATTCATGTTGGGGTTGAATAATGAAAAAGGAATATGATGATGCTGTGGCAATCTCCAACCAGGAGATGGTGAATGGTGAAAGAATAGCACATTGCTGCTCACGGAGCTGCGCTGGGGTTGCACTCCTCCACTGACAGAGATGTTTGATCATGTCACCAATAAAATTTGAACTACGTCTGTTGGATTCAGATTATGATAAACTTAATTCTTAAGTGTCTAATCTGGTGTCAACTCTGGTCTGGAAATGTAATCTTTTAATCTGTTTGTTTCTTAGGGTTTTTTTTAAATGCAAAATAATTTGGTGAAACCAGCCTTGTTACACACCACAAGCTGTATTTTTCGGTCCTCAACACACTGCAGGCACGTGGAATCACATAGTGGTGTCATTAGTTATTCATCGGAGAGCAAAGAAGGTTTCGGATGTTGTTGGGAACAGATGTCCCCAACCCCCTCCTACCGTCACACTGACTGCTGCAGCCATGTGATCACCTGCCACCCAAATCCCACACAAGGTCCTGCTGCATTTCCCGTCCCGTGAAAATGGGATGCCGTGCCCAGCCCTTCTCCACCCACTTCGCTCCCGCTGTTTGCATGTCCACTCTTCCCCCTGCAAGCACCCTGCTCTGCTAGTCCCAGCCGGGAAGCATTCGAGCCTCGGAAGGATGCCCTTGCTCTATTCCGGCTCCCCTCCCGGGAGCGGGCGGGGCCGGCGGCGATGTGGAGGATGGATGGGCGGAGCCGGGGGCCGGTCCAAGTGCCGGGGCCGCGGGCGTTGCCGGGCGACGGGCGGGCGCTCCCGTTGTCTCCCTCCTGCCCTCTCCCGTTCTCCCCGCGGCCCAGCCGACAGGTAGGAGCCGGCCCGGCCCCGCCACCAGGAGGCAGGCCCGTGTAGAGGGGTCGTGCTTCTCGCCCGTGGGACGGAGGGAGCAGTGGGAGCCCGGAGGTGTCTGGGGTCGTGTGGTGGGCGTGGGGACTGGTGTAACGTGGAGTCCGGCTTACCCTCCTTACTCAGGGCTTGTGCAGCTGGGTTTTAGGGGCGTTAACAAAGGCCGTTGTGGTGACCACGGTGATCGGTGCGGGACATGCTGGCTATTGCGGGACGCGATGGCTGGAGCAGGACACGCTGGCTGGTGTGGGACACCTCCAGTGCATCCTAGGGCTTGAAGACCCCACCAAAGCATGTGCATCACTGTAGCAATCCAGCCTGTGCACGGGTGGAAAGCATCTGAGGGCTGAGACCGAAAGTCTCTGTTTATGTCAGTGTTGGCAATAAATCTGGTTTAACAGCATGTTTAAGTTTTATGTTTTGGTGGAGCTCTGAGGAGAAAAAAGTTGATGAATAAATAGTCCTGGGCAGCAGGTGCAAGTTTTAGAGGGTATCCCCAGGTATTTTGTGCTGAGAGAATGTGGCTCCTCCGTGTTGCCTCCTCAGCTTCTCTTGAAGGGCTGAAGAGACTTTACAGTGCCGAGCTTACAGGCTTTAAGCTTTGTTTAACTTCTTGCAGAAAGGACTAGGTGTGGTCCTTGTCCAGCCCTCTGTGGTATGGAGGATGGTTTGGGGATGTACCTGCTGTCAGCAAGAGACTCATATTGCCTACTCATAGTTTTTAGCCGACAGTAATTAGTTAATTGGATATCTTCAGCTCTTCCCGTGGCCTGTATGTGAGGCCTGTGCTATCCTTGCTCTGCACCTGTCTTCTATAGTTGTTGATTCCTGATAATGATTTTCACGCTTGCCTATTATTTTCCTTTCTGACTGCTTTTACAAGGCAATGTTTTCTGACAGTGAAATATATTAAATGTCAGCTTTAACCTTTTATCCCATGCTACCCCAATGGCAATGTTTTCTCTAACACACATTCAACTTACTTCTACCACCTAGGAAATGACTGTTCTTTTTGTTCAGTAAATAACTTTTTTTTTTCTTCAAATATGTAGATTCTGCCATATCAAATCCCTCACCTTTTTGTGATCTGCTTGGGAACTGTATTCAGTTATACTTTCATTAAGCTCTTCTAGACTCTACTACTTCATGTCCTGTTATACTTTTAAGCCCTTTTGAGTGTGGACTTCTGCTGTTACAGTGGACAAAATACTTTTTGTTATTAATTGTGAAATGCTCAGAATCTCTTGGGTTTGTTTTAGTTTTATTCTCTTGAAGATTGTATTCTTAACTGTTGTTTTAGCAGGACATGGAGCAATTAAATAACAAATTACACTATGAGCACCTGTAATTCAAGATAAATGGAGATGAACGGCTGGGACAACTAAATTAAAATGTCTGTAGAAAGGGGATGGGAAATGATGCAGAACACCAATGCAACTGGAAGAAAAGGTAAAATAATTTCAAATGTGCAAATTACTGAAAATGTTTAAGAACTTTTTTTGTAAATTACTCTCCCATTTAATTTTGTTACTTTGCATCATGTTATTTTGTCTGGTTTTGAGTTTGCCTGAAAGAACTTGGATTAAAAATGCAGCGTTCAGGTATGTCAGATCTCAGAGTTGCTGTCATTAACAGGTTTTGTTTTGGGGATGGCAGTGAGTTTTTTTCTGATTTTTGTGTTCTTTCTCTTGACTTTAACACTGAGAATTACAAGGCTTCTCTGGGCCTGACCTCTTAAGGCATTGATATATGGATGAATCCACCTATGGGCAGCTCAATTTGTTGGTCATACGCTACTGTCAGTAAAAGAGAGAACAGGCTCTGCCCATGGCCTGGGCTGCCATCAGCCTGTTCTTACACAGTTCAAGGGACCTGATCCTATATAAAAGCAGGATTCAGATTATGTGTGAGACCAGATGCAAGTTTAACACTGGACTGGAGTGATATTACTATGTATGATTATGATGATACATGTGCTTTTCTAACTGAAGTTCCTTAGGGGAAGCAGTTAAAGAAATCACATTTATTCCCTAAGTTTGAAGTAATATAAAAGTTAGTGCTGCAAAATAGTAACATTACGTGATATGCCATAAATTTGGGATTGCTACATTTGTCACTAATGGGAATGGCTTAATATTTATATTTATAATATTTATATTAATATTTATGTATACCTCCCCAGCTGTTGAACACACCACCTTTGGAATTGCAAAGATACTGAACAGTTGATTGCCAAAGATTACAGCCATATGCCAGGGGAAAGATCACTTTGGACTACTCCTACTTCTGATGTTGTTTTTAAGGGATCTATTTCTGACTACAATAGTTAGTTGGAGATCTGTCTTGACCCAGCAGGACAGTTATAATGCATCTTCATCAGTAGTCTAAATTGATTATGCAAGGTCCTTTTCACAGTGAGTTTTTTGCTCTTGCTAAAATTTTGGGAATGTCTGTTACTAAATAAGCTCCTGCAGCATCTTCCACTGTTTAGTATTTTTCTACAAATTCAGCTAAAATCTGTCTCTTTTTATACAATCTATCCCATGTGAGCAACACATTGGAAATCAGAAACATTGCAGCTGCTCTACAAATGGCTTTGCAGGGCTTGTAATCTCTTGCTTCAATTAGCTTAATTACCGAACAAAATGGACTGAAAATTGTTTGAGGACAACCAGAGCACGCTGAAACTCAGAAATGCCATATATGATGCATTTCATCCTGCACAGAAGTTTGTATTTCAAAAGGCTCATAAATGCAATGCAACAGTAGCTGGGAAAAAAAGTCCATTTTTACTGTCCTTTTCTTAGCTGGAATCTGGAAATGCTTCTAAATAGTGGATACTTCAAAATCACCACTGGACCAAGAGGCATGTGTAAGGGACGTGATGAGCGCGTGAGGAACAGGTTGGATGCACAGACTGTGAGGGTACAAAATGCCAGGGATTCCTTTGTTGGGGGTCCCTCCCTGGAGGCACCAGCTCCAGCTGGTTTTGCATTGAGTAATTAAATTACTCAAAGTAAGCAGACATCTGAGATTCTGCAGTGGGAAACCCAGGGTCGAGCTGGTAAGGAAAACTTGTCTGACTGTGAGTGTGGGGTGTGCAGGGAGTCAAGTGTGGCACTGGAGCCACCCCTGTGAAGGAGCTTCGGTCCCAGCAGTGAAAGTCTGGGGTGGTGGGAGTGTGACTGGCAGAGTGGCTCCTGGATGATCAGACAGGAAGGTTTCCTTAACAATTTGACAAACTAGCTCCAGAATGATTTGATATAGAGGCATTTCCAGCACATATGATAAAACATTTCTCATTACTCTACAACCTTCTCAGCGGGATCTGGGAAAGTATTATACATGCAATTGTAATTATGCAATTTAATACATGCAATTTGTAGATATATAAAGGAGAAACAGGTTACATTGAAGTGCATTGCCTTTTTATTTATTACTGCAATGTTTTTAAAGAATATTAGGCATCTTTTATCTCAGGAGGGTTGGCTCAAACCTAATCTGGTTTGTAGCACGCATTTTTTCTCTGGGATCACTGCTGCTTTGGGTGACAGCACAGTTTGAACTCAACTCTGTGCATGGGGGTAATATAAAGTCCACGAAGCTCCCAAGAACTTACCCTGAGGACTCTGTGCAACATAAGTCCTGAAAATTACCTACCGTGGTCATGGTAATTGTAGAGCAGGATTTACATGCAGTAGCAGAGGACTGTCATGGACTCTTACAGCTTGTAAAACCACAAATAAGGAAGGTAAACAAATGAGACAAATCGATGCACTTGCTTTATCTGTAAATTTGGGTGCTCGACCCAAGGCTTTAAATTGACTGAACACTTACACAAAACTATCATTGTGAGCATTCAAGTAATTTGGTGTCTTTAATGTCAGTGAATTTTTATTTATATTAAATTGGATATTGATATCTTGATATTTCAGCATTCTCTTAAAAGCTTTTTTTCTTAGTGGGGCACATAAGTGAAATATTTATGAATGCTCTTTATAGTGTTTACATGATCCCATGTTATTAAAGTAGTATTACTGAAGTAGTTGTTACCTCCTTCTGCTTAACAAAAACAGAAGATTAGAATCATACTGTCCAGTCATACACTGAAAAAAATTCATGTTAATAACAGGTCAGATGTTTTATTTTTCAGCTTTTTGGAAGTCGCACCTGCTAAAATAGACTGATGTGTTGCGAGATGCTTTATATTACATAAATGTTGCAGGAACTGTTTTTGCCATTATGGGTGGATTATTGTAACAGTAGTTTCCTGATGACATCATAGTAAATTCCAGCTGCCCAAACAGTTATTTTCCAGAAGAGGTTATCTGCAGTGCACTTGCGCAAAATTACACTTAAAAGGGCCCTCATAGTTCCCTCGGGACTTATAAACCAAACCTTTTGTCAAATCCTCAGTAAACAGAGAATTCTTTGTTTTCATTCTGTGTCTGTGGTAACAGTATGGGCACTACTGTAATTTGTGGTTCTGAATTAAACAAATAAAAACTATATTGTGCAAGACAAGAGAAATGGAAGTCTGCAGTGCAAGCTTCCTGTCATGAAGGGATACATAGCACAGTGGTTCTCAAATGTATTTTCCTAGAGAACTTTTAGGCTGGTGACATACAGATAAGGGTCCAAAGATTGCAGAACCCCCACTGAAATGGTACCCTCCTGTCCAGTGAAGGCATGAGTAGCCACAGAGCAGGAGAGGATGCTGGCTGAGAAGCTGGCCTGAGGGAGCAGAGATTCCTTTTTGTATGGGATGTTAATATATAGAGGTATATGCCTTTCCTAGACTAAATCTGGATTGATTACTATTGTTTGATATTTTGTGTGTTTGTTTTTAAACATGCCTTGTCACACAATTCAGAGGATCTTACCCATGCTTAAGAAGCCATAATTAATGTTAAGTCAGACATTCGTGGTGATTGCTGAATTTGAAATGTGTATTAATATATATTTAATGAAGAGTACACAGTCCTACCATTGACCCTTCAATAAATCTTGTAGCAGGAAAGTAAAATCTTGGAGTTTTAGCAGTGTCAGACCCTAAGAACATCAAGTAACTCTTCTCTACCAATTTCTTTCTGGCAAATTACAGTATTCTGCAGGGATTTCAAATAACGTGTAGTTGCAAGGATCATTAAATTTTAATAATGATCTTTATTAGTGGTATTTATATATGTTTAAAATGTCCTGCAGTTTTTAATGGACTTTCACAACATGTCTGAGATTTGAACAGCTTGCTCACTTTGGTAAGGAGAGTGGCAGCAGTGGAGAAAGTTGTCAGCTTAACAGTTCATGGAATTCAAGATCTTCCATGTTACTGCTCTGGTCATTAATTTCTCCTGCATTCAATTATTATCTGCTTCTAGTTATCCAGATATGTAAGAGCCTGTTAAGTTAATGTCTTTGATGCAAATCCTACAAAAACAAATTCTTTTATTTCTTTCATGATTTTACTCTTCTCAGTGTTCCCATGCACGACAAAACTCCATTATTTTTTGTCCATTTTCTCTTTCCCTGAAGCTCATCTACTTACTGGTATTGCTTTGATGTCCTGCTGAATTCGTTGAAGGTTTGTTTTAGGTGCAGTCAGCTTCCATCCTTGTTGGTCTCACAAAGTCTTGCAGGAATGGTCATTCCGTTCATCTCATACATCCAATATATATCCAATGCAGCCATCTTCCCTGTGGAGGAAATCTTCAGGTTTGTGGCTTCTCAGACCTCTTTAATGGCAAAAAGATCTTTCCAGTCCCTGTAAATTGTCCCACTGAGGCTAACACTAGTTAGAGTCAATGGTTGCATTTGACAGTCACAGGTCTCTCATTTGGTTTTTAGCATTATAAATGAGTGGGTGAGGTGGCTTTACTGGAGTGGTTTTACCTGTCTCAGAAAGTCAGGTGGACCTGATGAAAATGAGCAGTATATCGTCTGTATCTGTAGGAAGGCAAGTGTTGTGCCAGGCCCGCTTCTCACTTCTGCACAGTGCTGGAGAGGCTTTTGGATTTTATGTAAGATTGGCACTTCACCACTACGATTGATTCCTGCACTCTTTACTTTTCTGTAATCCTCATTTTGAGGATGATATTTTGATCCATGTTCAGGAGAAGATTATTTCTTCTCTGGAGAAAGTTTTGAAGTGATGGAACCATTTAAAAAATGGCTGACAATAATTCAACTTGATCCCTGGCAATTTGTAATGAAAATACTTTTCTCCTCACTAATCTACTGTTACAATAATTACAAGAACAGATCAATAGCAGGAAGTATAAAACAAAGTGTTACTTTGGATATTAAGCCATAAATTGATCTCCCTGTCAAGCCTAAAGTAAGTGCTGTATCAACACGTTTCAAAGATTTGAGGACATTCTGAAACATAATAGCGAGGGACCAATAGAGGGAGAACACTAATTTGTTTTATGCAAGTGTGTTAACTCTTTGTGGCCCAAATCTGCATAATCCTGCAATTATCTCATTATGTTTTACACTGACATGTTACATCAGTGTTCTCTGACTATTGCTCCACTTGGCTCTGGTAACATACGGGATTATCTCTGGATAATAACAATCCTCACTTGAATTAGCAAGAACCACCAGTACTTGCACATGATCCAACACAAATCTTGTGCAATTGGCAAAGTATTCCAGAATTTATATGACAGATATTCTACTCCAAGTCAGTTACTGACCGAAATAATTCCTTCTTAGGAAAATAAGGACAACATCAGAAGATCTTGCTGTCACAGAAGATTCTTTAGTTTCCTTGGACAACTGATGACTGTTGCAACTCTTACTGACTAAATCATACTGACGTGCTCTAAAGAAAGCAGAGGAGAAAAATCTGAGAAATTCTAGAATTCTTTGGAAAAAGAAACAGGTAATAGAAATTTATGGGTTGTATCTTTTCTTTCAAAATATAAGACACATAATGTTTTTGAGCTCCTTCCTAATGGGCAGAAGTATGAAAATATGGAAGTTGTCCTTATACTACTATAGGCATGCTGAGGTTCTAGAAGCTGCGAATATCACTGCTCAATTCGCTTCTGGTGGTTATTTTATAATCCAGTAAGAAAGATTGAAAGGAGGTATGTGTCTCTGAAGAATTTGTTCTTGAATGTGATTTTTAAGCATTGAGTATTGCTGTGGCTTAGATGTAGCACATTTGAGAAGTCAGCTTCTCCTATAGAAGTGCTTGCCAGGTACGTGCAGTGATCTGAAAATATAATTTTTGCTTTCTGTGGGCTTCCTCTCCCCTGATGAATGTATGAAAGGAGCACTTAGGATTCTGAGGGTTTGGTTCCTCCCTTTCTAATGCTAGGAGATTCTGCAGAGAGATTTGGTAGATCGTTAATCTTTCATTGCTGTTTTTCTTTTAATAAGGGCTGCTGTTTTTGCTGACAGTACTGAGTCCTTTGAATTTCTTTTTCTTGTGCAAGTGAAGAATTTTGACTGGACAAGAGTAGTCAGAGCAAGAAGTCTCTTCAATCTAACCTCTCTCACCTACTAACAAGACAGTCCTCTCAAGCAGAGGTGACTAGCTGAGCAGTGAGAACTTCTATTCATCCTAACAGAAATTACTCCTGTGTTTAACTGTTTATTAGTATGAGGGGGAAGGAAGGTGGTAATTCTCAGGTCTTGGCCACCACTGAAGCTTTGTCAGCCAGTTATGATTAGCTTGATCATTTAATTACTTTTCCAGTGCTAAGACTAAGTATTGCTTCACAGTGGAGAACAGAACAAAACTGCAGGTGTCCCTTTAGCAAAGCAAGACGACTTTTCTCTAGTCTAGCCTTTTGTTGTTACAGCAGTGTTTCCAGCTGTGATACTTCCTTGCTGCCAAGTAATAGTAAATAGCTTTATAAATCATAGTAGTGCTTGTACTACTATGATTTACTATCACAGTAAATAGGGAACAGCCTATTGCTTTTTGCCTCTAACAAGTGTACATATGCTTACTCTCATATTTCAAAGTTAATTGCTAATATTTCTGTGAAAGTAATAGCTTTGGGAATGGAAGAATGAACACATTTGAAGTGCTTCTTCTTCCAGCTTTGGATTTCACTCCTCACTTGAAGCATACACAGTTTTGTTTAAATTGTATTTTACACTTATTTTCTCCAAGACTGTCTTAAAAATGAGAAGTCAGCAGCCATAGCCTGCCTGACCTAGAGCCAGTGACAGTGCAGGTATGTTTAATTTAGGACAGCAAATACAGGCAGCTTCTATCCATGCTGCCTGCAGGCAGAGATCAAAATGCTGGAGAGAAGTGGTGGTGTGTCTTGGTACTGGTACTTGCTGGAGTCCAGCAGAGTTTTGCTGAGTGCTGTTCATGTTTCTCAGGAGTGAATGGGTAGGTAGGAGGCCCATGTGGATGGGAAATTCATTGCCACTGGAGAAGGGTGAGTGGAATAGTGAGAAGACGGAAAAGGGCTAGTGTCCTGAGTTGTTTGTTCTCATCTAACATCTTTGTACAGAGCTATGGGTATGCCTAGCTTTTTGTATAACTGCAAACAATAGTTTGCTGTAAAAGCCTACACTTAAAGCTGAGTGAGGTGTGGGACTCTGATAGCTCTTGAGGGTGAAGAAAAGGAAGAATATATGTTACATGACACATTGCTTTGGGTTCTGATTAAAGAAACCTGCATCTCCACAGGCATTTGCTCTCTCGTAATGGGAGTCAAAATAGATTTTACTAAAGGGAAAATAATAAATATGGGTAAAAAAATCAGACTGCTTGTTATCCTTTTGTTCAAAGCATGTTGAGATGGACCTGAAGTGGAATCCTGACAGAGTTTCTCATCCGGGCTCATCTGGAGTCCAGATGACTGATTTGAATTGGCGAGGCAACCAAAATCCCAGTCCACTGATTAAAGATGATGGAGAGCTGCTTATGGAGGAACATCTTTCCCCCAGGAAACTGGTGAGTAGGCATCCAACTTTTTAATGAAGTGGAAGAGGCAAACTGGCATACACAGAGCTGCATTAACCTTCCAACTGCTATTGTGCTGATTATGGATTGTTTGTCTGACATTTAGACTTCTGCATGAAGTAGGTTCTATCTTATGAAAGTGTATCAAGTGCTTGTCCTCCTTTCACCTTGTTTCATATCAGAAATACTCCCAGCATGAATGTGGCTGTTTCTATTCCTAGATTTCTTGAAGCAGCGTGAAGAAAAGTACAGGTAGCATAGTTATAATCTACACAGATCTTATTAATGCCATTTGGAGTACCTTGAATCTTAGCATTAGGGAAAAAAAATTGCATTAACCTTGTTCTAGAGATTGGAAGTGTAACTTTAAAAGCACTTTTTTTTCTGAATTAGCGAAATCATCTGTCGTGCTACGAAGCCAATTAAAATATTCTGCAAATGCTAAAAGTACTTCGTGTGTGTATCAAAGTGTGTGGAATTTCAAAGCATATTTGAAAGCCATGTTCCTTTTTGACTGGGGGAAATTATTTTAGTGTGCAGCCTGTTGAAAGAAAGTAACATGCTGAAATCTTCATGAAGGAATTCACTTTGTGAAATAGTCATGAAAGAATACTTGATTGCATATTGTGTTTTATTTGCTCAGGACTAATTAAAGGTGAAATCCTGTGGGAGGTGCAGGAGCTGAGAAAATAACCTCATTTTTCCCTGCTAAAGGAAGGGAGAGCTGAGAGCAGAAATTAAGGGGAGAAGCTTTCTGTGTTGCAGAGCTACAGAAGAGTAGCTCTTCTGCTGGGTAGAATTTATGAAAGACAGGTGGGGCTGCCAAGACTGTGGTTCAGATGCTGGCAGGCATTCATATACCAGGCCGGGTGGCGATCGCAGTATCCATAATCCTCTGTGTATCCACTGCACCAGTGGAGAGACATGAGCTTCTGCAGGCAGCATATTCCAGCTGCAGGTTTACACCACTCCCTAACCACATACCAGTCACCATTTTGACCATGTGCTGTAGAATAAACAGCAAATTGTTCTCAGAACTGTTGTTCCCTTCGTAGGTAAGTCTTTTAGTGTTTGTAAAATGGTTGAAGATGCAAAAGTCATTTTCTGCAGAGTATATACTTTAGGCACTCTGGAGGAAAATTGCTGCATGATTATATAATTTATGCCATTCCCTTTCCTCAGGTTCATGAGAACCTCTGGCAACTTTTTTCTTTTTAAAACCTGGCATAGAGTTTGACCAGTGTAATGTGTTCATGGCCTTCAATACTCTGTATAAATCCAATGGGAATCTCTCAGATTAGTCTGTATTGTTAGGGTGTGAACCAAAGCCCATTAAAGTAACCAAAACAGCTGCCCTCTGATTCAATAAACTTTGAATTAAACCCTTAGAAAGTTCTTTCATTGGTATGAAGTTCTCTTTCTGAAGCTCTGCTGCTTTAGTTCACAGTAAATTGTAAACAGAAAAGTGTATGTAAGGCAATGTTACCCACATCCTATGACCTTACTGTTCATTACTTTGTATTTTTTTTTAAATGCAGATAAGTTAAATAATTGAACCTTTCCTCTTCAAGATTGTGTGTTTTAACATTTGTAAGGAATCCTATTTCAAAAATTCTTTTAAATGGATGCATACCCTCCTGCTAATTTTTCTGGATAGTATTTCCTGCCCTGGAACCTCACATTTGCGTTGGCATAGCTGGGATACTTCCTGCTCAGAGGAAAAATTACATGATATTGTCAAGGAAACATTTATAGTGTTTATAGCTTGTTTTAATAACATATCCAGTCTATCTATTCTTTGACCTTTATGTTGATCAAATGAAAACCACTGCTTCCATAAATTTACTTCCTCAGGATTTGCAAACATTCAGAATGTTCAAACGTTTAATGAAACAAGTTTTCACATGCATATTTCTTTAAGAAACCACATGCCATTGACAATGAAATGGTTTGAAAGGTTGTTTTGCTGAAATCAATACAATTGCAATATCTTCTTGATTGTCTCATTGTTGTGAATATTTTAGGAGTTATTGATTGTACTCGCTGAAGTGTTCTGAGAAGGAAACTAAGACACTTTTAAAATACATGCTCATTAAAGTAAAATTATTTTACATTCAAATAAGGACATGGGCCCCAGTTCTGCAGTGTTGTGTAGGCAGATATTTGTACACTTGATGGAGGTTCCTGAGGAAGGTTTTTGTATTGAGATACTTACTCAGCTTTACTCCTTGCCCTTGCAGTGTTCTCTCTTGCACCAGCTCAGTTGGAGTTTGGGGAGGCTGGAAGGTCTAGCTGTGCAGAATTGTGAAGATTGGGCACCTTGAATTGTAGCCTGCAGCCTTGTTTCCACCTGCACATTTGACTCATTTTGTCCTTTTTTCCAGGGGAATGGCCATCTATTTTGTAGTGAAAACATTATCAGTCTCCATTAGCAGTCCTTATCCTTAAGAACTCTTTGTAATGATCTTAAGTATCTTTGTGATACTTGTATCCCTTCGCTTTTTTATCCAGTTGCTGGATTGTTTTCCTCCAAAGAAAGTAAAGTTTGGCTTAGACCAATTTTTTTTTTCCTTTCCTTTTCCTTTCCTTGTCTTCTTGGACCCTGTAGAACTTCTGCAGAACCACTGGACCTTTGCCCATTCTCCTCTACTCCATACGGACCCCTTCACTTAGATCTTATGCTCGTTCACTGCAGAGTTTGGTCTTCTGTGGCCTTGTTTCAGCACAATGTTCACTTCAAATCCTGTATGATTCCATATCCCTGTTATGTTAATCACATCATCTAGTTTCTGCTTGCTGCCAGCTCTCTTGCTGCGCTATCAGGTAACACCCTTTTATATTTGAAAGTTCTTCATCCAAGCTACAGGTCAAAAGCTTTTGATGCAAGAGTTGGTATCATTAGATGTCCTTTTTATTCTTTCTGCTAGTGTCAATGTCAATTTTCTCTTGTACTTTTTAATCTTCCTCTATATGAATAGGCATTCTTGCTTTTTCATTTGTACCTGTCTTAATAATATTTCCAGCTCCCTGCTCTGCTTTTCCTTGTGCTTATGTGTTGTTGTCAGATATTGTAGAATATCACAGTGAGCAAATTCTCACTTTATTCTGCAAACTGGCTAATAATATGCAATCAGTTTTTAACTCTCTTAGGGCTGTGGCACGGATTTTTCATTAAATGTGGAAAAACTGAAATTAAGGGTGCCACCTGTCTTGAATCACATTTTTGTTTTGCTTTATTAGCCCCCATCCTCTCCCCCCCTTTTGCAAAGGATCTTTTCCTGAATTCCACAAAATGCATTCCACTTCTCACAAGAAACTCATTTTACAAGGTCAAATGATCTTCCAGATATTGTCGCATTATAAAAAACAATCACGTTTGTGGGTGATCTTTAGAGAAGAAAGGAAGTGTTCTCTAATTTCGCTATTTATTGATCCTGCTCCAACTAATCATGTTTTCTAAACTTAGGAACACATGTTCGGAAGTGGTGTTTAGTTTTGTTGCTCAGGAGGTTAGGGTGTATTTCATATGGTATGCACTCATCCTCGTGGGGAAAAAAAATGCTGGAGGGTCCTGAAATAACAGATTGGATTCTTGCTGAAATGACTCGATCATTTCTTTTTTCCTTTTGCAGAAATTTTTTTTGCAGAGAGATTATACTTGAGTTGAGATTTTGAAAAAAATAAAAGAAGCAATGAACGCATGAGTGGACATATTTGCATACAGGTGTAATATTAAAAGAAAACAAACTCACCACTCAGGAATTCCTGTCTTAGCCAAATTAACCAGGATCAGCAAAATAAATGCACAGCTGGAAATATTTCTCTGACAGCTGCATGCAACATGCTCCTCAGAAACATACCTACTTTTCTTGGAGTGTGTGAAAAATCTGGGGAAGAGAGAAGACATCAATTGTATATGGCAATTTTAATAGAACAAGTATTATTTGCCAATTAAGGAAGTTACAGATAGTTGCAAGTGGGACTTCCCAGCATGCCAGGGTGACTGTTCTGCAGCTTGGGAAGCTCTGCAAGCACAGAAGTGTTTCTCATTTGAAATTTTTACAGAATACTTACTGGCTTGACTCGTCAGTCAGAGGAAAAGCTTTCCAAACCAGCACGTGCTCTCCAGTTAGATATTGGCCAGACATTTTGCATGGTGGGAATGGTTTGTGAGCCATCATGTAGTTGCTTCTTAAAATACTGGCTAAATTATTAACCAATAACTTCTGCATAATATCATGAAAAATAGTTTTACTCCTATTTTGAAGAAGGTGAAAAAATGTAAAGTGAACTTTATTCATCTTTGTTTTACTTACTGTGTATTCATCTTCAAAGAATTGTGCAGTGCTTTACCGTGGAAATGTATCCTTTCAAATAAATGAATTTACAGTGGAGTGTAACACTTGCTGCTCAGAATCAAGCTGTCAGGTCACTTTCTTGAACATCATGTTCCAGATTTTAATATTTGATTCTTCAGAAAACATCCTCCTTCTCTGTATAACTGGTACCTCTATTGCTGGGTTGCAGGTGGGTGTCAAGCAGAATCCTCTCTGAATACCAACAGTCAGCCTGGAATTATATATTTTTGACTTAAAATAACTCCATCTCACTCTTTACCTATAACAGATCCTTGGTTCCTTTTTGTTTGCTCTATGTGGAGGCTGAACAGCTGTAAACAGCCAAAGAAATACCTCGATGGTACAGCACCTTCATGTCTGTAAGCACTCCTGGGGCACAGGCAGGGACGTTCAGAACAGTCCGTTGAGCTGTGGGCAGGCAGTCATTACCTGAAGGCACAGTGGGACATCTCTGAGTTAGGGCAGCAGCCTGTCCTAGACCTAGGATGGCCCTAGAAATGAGGAGACCCAGAGCACCATAGCATCACTTCTGTCCATGTGGTGCCAGACATTTATCTGTCCAAGCTGATGACCCTTCGGTGTGTTTGGTCGTGATTTTTTTTCTTTTACTACCCAATAACATCAAAATTCTTCCTATACATGCATCCTTTTGAATTTTGGTGAAGATTCCCGTGCTTGGACATTAAACAACAGCATAAAAAGATCTTGCTAAATATGTATAATCTTTCTTTAAATGTTTCTGCATCCTTCCCTCAATCTCGCCCATTCCTGGTGTCAGAATTTTAGCTGTCAGAATTTACACAAGATGTATCACACTTGCAACTGCATCAGTATGCCAAGAATAGTGTCTGGGGAGTAGAAATATCCTAACTACCTTCCACAGGAACCATTCACTACATAACCTTCTCTCAAACTGCTGCCCTGGCCTTTTGCTTGCTGACTAGCTTGCAGTCAACACCTGGGGTCTCTGTGCTTCTAAATGCCTTTAAATGAGCTCATATCCTCCACCCAGGAGCATTTCTCATTTCCTTTATGTACTGCACTAACTTTTACATCCCACAGTAAATTGGTTTCAAGCTCTCCAAGCATCTCCTTGGCATCAGCAGATGGAAGGACAGTGATTTTCACAGGAACTCTTGGAAATGCAGAAGAGGGAGGTGGGCACCAAGAATACATGGAGTTTGTTGCATCTGGTTAGCACATGCTTCAAGACAGCTATCTGTAGTTCAAAAAGCTGGTGATGATGGCCAATAACCCTTTCCAGCACTGGAGCCACAGTTCTGCCTACTGCAGTACAAAAATATGGATTCGTTAAGCAGCTCAACTCTCAGACAGTGAAAAAAGTACAAATGGTGGATCTGAAATAGGAAAAGAAGGGCAAAGAATCACACTGTTAATCCCTGGTATTAGAAAAAGGAATAGGGAACCCTAAAAAATGAGAGAATATAACTTCAGGCAGCTTTTATGCTTGGATTTTGAAAGAGAAGAACAGGGAGTGGAACTGTGAGGGGGAGCTGTCTGGAATACAGCAGGGGAAGGACAGCATGCAGGGAAGTTGCTGACAGCAAGGAGAAAAGGACAAAAAAGGAGCAAAAGCTCTTTGTGGTGTCAGGACATTTTCCTACTCTACTGACAAAGTGTATGACCCTAAGCTTATTACTTGTTCTGAGACTTCCTCCTGTTCTGATGTAGGCTCTTAAGACTGTTTTGATGGGGAGCAGGGACGTATTTTTCAGAGGCGGTTTCCTTTAATGACAATAAGCTTGCATCCAAATCCAGTGATCCAAGTGCATGGTTGTGTGCCAGGACATCAGCCAGCTCTTGTTTCACACATAATCTCATGACAGACAGTGTCATCTGCTGAAAAGGGTAACTGCAAGATGTGTCTTGCAGTGAGAGATCTTGTGTTTACTTGGAGGGAGAAAGCAGTCTGTAGTTGGTAAGCTTGCTACCTTTGAAGGAGCAAAACACATTTTGTGGTGGCTGCATCTGGGAATAGGAAGAAAATTTCTGGGTGCCATGGGGAACTCCCACATTTTCACCTTAGACCGTTGTTTCTCATATACTCTAGTGGGGAGGCAAGACAGTCTGGAAGCTTATGTTTTTTTCAGCCTGCCTAAAATCACAGTTTAAAAAATAAGATTAAAAGTAATTTTAAACATAATGTTTTAAAGATAGTTCAAAAGCACTTGAAGATACTGGATAATTCTGTTTCTTAGGAGTACAAGTTAACAGCTTATAAAGGGCGACAGTTTTTCAAGAAGGTATGCTCAGCTTTTTCTGGAAACTTTTCTTTTAAACTCACAGACAGACTGTATTTGGTCCTTTGTAAGAGGATGTGGAACCGTCAGAGTGAATGAAGTTGCAGCCACTTCGCTGCACAATAAAAATGTTACTTAATGAGCAGGATGACTGCAGCCACCATATTTTCCCCTGCAAAATGAATTGGATGTTCTTGTGGTTATTTTTTCTTCCCAAAATTCATAAGCCTAAGATGGTCCTACACATTCTCTTCTAATGAATCATTTCTCCCTTTTTAAAAAAACTAAATAATGTTGTAACTTTTTAATATTAAGAAAACTTGTCTCTTGTATGTGGAGGTTGTTGAATGACTTCCTACCTTCAACTTAAGTAAAGGCCCAAAAACTGAGGAGAGAGAAGCTGGATCATAGCAGGAAGAAATAGGAGATGAGAACAGTGGGAATGTGAGATTACTTCAGCTGCTTGTGGAATTGCAGCCTGGCATCTTTGGATTTCGCAACCTTTCTGTAGTTTTCACTGGAGGTCCTAGGGCTTCCCTCTCTCCCCTGTGTGTAGCTTCTGCTTGTTTTGTTCCTTCTGCTTAGCCTGCCAAGGCAAAAAGTATGTGTATCAATCAACACAGACTTTAGGGTATTAGGAAAGATCCTGTGATAAGATGGGAAAGAGTCTGCATTCAGACACACATCCTTGCTTAATGCAGTGGTTGATCCAACTACAAAGACTTTGTAAAATAATGAAGAATTTTGGAGGCATCTATTTGCATTGCCTAGATATTTTGAAGGAATTAATAATTCTTGTAACTAGTGTCGTCTTCTTTCAGAAAAGTTAAGTACTTGAGCTAAAATTATGTTTCCTTTTCACTGGTTCAGGTTAAAAGGCTAAACAGTGTGTTTTATTGAGTTTTACTACCTCTTGCCTTTTTGATTACAGGTGATACTTAGGGGTAACACTCTCTATCTGCTGAGGATTAGTGCAAGACTTGTGCAAATTGTAAAGTATGGACACACTGTTTAAATGAAGCTAATGGGCATGAAGGTCTGTTGTTGATTTGCAGCTTGGATGTAACCCTTGGCCTTGACTCTTTAAACAATGTATAAGTTATGGGAGACTAGAATATTTTGGAGCTACAGGAAAGAAAGGTCTTTGAATACTAAATTTATTTCAATATGATTGCATGTCTAGCCATTTTGTCCTGAAATATATGTTGACAAAACACTGGTTGAAAGCCTTTTTACAGCTTTTTGCTGCTGTGACATCTGGTTTATTGTATGAGAGTACACGTATATTTCTGCTTGTCTTTACAGAAAGCTTTGGCAGGGGTAGATGATCTGCAGCAAGTGAAGGCCCTAGAGATGAGAGTAGATACAAGAGAGACCAGCTTGGGAAACTTTGGTAAGAAACCACTGTTTTCTGCTCACCGTCTCAAATTTTCCTTTATCGTGTCTTGGACTGGGGACTCAATGACCAACAGCCAATATAAAGTACTGTCCTGCTCAAAGCTCTTGAAACATGATCTCCCTGGTACCTCACACTCCTTGATCTGTTTTCTTGTGTGGGGCTCTAAATAGGACTGAAAATATGACAATGGGATGAGTGACACCACTTCTGTCTAAAGCCAACTAGCTTGAACAAATTTTTCTTGTATGATGTGCTTCCAGGCCCTAAATGAGCATTTACTGATTACCTTGTCCTTTAGAGTACTTTTCTCTAGCGAAAGAGTAGCCAAAGGTCAGTTTTCCTCCCCCATAAGATTTCCCTGTGACTGAGAATTTGCCAGTGATATCAGGTGGCTCATGCTGCCAGTAGCCTGTCTTTGCCTCCTGTACTGCCTCATTGAGCTGTGCTGGAGGAAGGTCCTGTAGATATGTCATTTTGATGAGCCACAAACAGCCCTAATGCTTGTAATACATTTCTATGTCATCATCACTGCACTAGGGAAGTGAGAAGTACCTCAGGAATTCCCTCTGTAGTAGAGTTAACACTGAGAATATAAAACCTTCCTTTTTTTCCCCCCGCACTGGCAGTCATTTTCTGTCATTTGGCTTCCTACCAGAAGCTTCTATCTTCTGTTACATTGAAGCTGAGTAACTACTGCAGGGTAATGTTTTCTGTGCTGAAAGGAACCATGTCCCCAGAAGTATGTGTTGGTATTTTCAGCCAAGTGGTTAATTTTTCATATGCAAATGACTATAATGTAACAGTTGATTAGCTTTAGTGGGTCTTTTGATGTCCATTTGTCAAGAATAGTTGAGCAAGTACAATGAAGGGGGCTTTTGTCTGAAATTATATAGCCCCCTTGTATTGGTTATTCTGCTTGTTTCACAAATAGGTCTCTTTCTGATAGGCACTTGATAATTTAAAGTAAATTACATCCGTTTCTTTCAGAGATCATAATCTATTCAGTCATGTTTCGTCCAATTGATAAGGAAATCTCATTATACCATTTCTACAATGCTCGAAAGTGATGCTCCCTTTCCTATGCCATTTTACATTAGCTGTGATGAGCTAGCAAAATGTTTCACCTTTTTCACTCTCTCTTCCCTTTCCTTTCTTTTACTGGAATAAATCCCTTTCTCCACCCCATGGTTAGGCTTTTGCAGCTTCTACAGAATACAAAGCACTATTCTCATGTTGCAAACAATTTCAATTTTGTTTATATCCCACTGTTTGCACCAAGAGTTGGCCCTTGAGGGCCATAAAAACCAGCAGCTGCAGGTCCCCACTGCTTTTGAGAATAACAGAACATCAAGACTGTCCTGAATTTCCTTCTGTCTTTTTTTTGAGTGCATTTCTGAATTATCTTCCTGAGAAAATCTCTTTGCAAATGTCAACGGGTGGCTAGGGCAGTAAGTTTGTCACTTAATGCTTCCAGTGATCTTCAGTTTCTTGCTGTTTTTTCCACATGGCAGATGATTTTTATGTGCATTGAGTAAGGCCTAAATTTTTAGAGGTGTTGCAGAGCAGTTGACGTCTTCAATGTGAATGGTGTAAGGAAGACTGCTGTTGAAGGTGTTAGGCTCATTGCCTGCTCCCTGTGTGCTGCCTGCCCCTGGAACTGTGCTGCTGACCTGGTCCCTGGTCACAGCGGTCTGGAGAAATAGCCTGAGGGAAAGAGTAGGGTAAGAACCAGACCAGCTGGAATGACAGAAGTTCCAGTTTTTCCCCTACTAGGACAGTCAAGCAATAGGGGTATCCAGAGAGGTTTGGAGACTTCATCCTTGTAGGTTTTCAAGACCTGGCTGGTTGAAGACATGAGCACCCTGGTATGATGTCACAGACAACCTGGCTCTGAGCTTGATACCTCCAACTGTCCCCTCCAGCCTGGATTGCTCTGTAATTTGTTTTTTTTTGCATTTGAAACGTGGCTGATTGGCTTGCTTTATAGCCATATTAAAGCACTTAACCTTGTTCTCACTGTATTCCTTGGCTGTGGAAGGAGCATCTTTGTCATTGAGAAATTATTTGTTGGATGATTAGTCCAAACTCAGTATATTGTTTTAACTGGTTTTATGTGTAAAGATAAAACAGGCTGTGCAAGCACTTAAATGGCCAGGTAAAAGTGTTAAAAGTTACTGGACTGCACATAACTGGGTCACCTGGAACCCTGCACCACTTGAATCCCAAATTTACAACACAGTTTCCACTTGAAAAACATTTCAAGATTCACAGCCTGTGTTACAGACTGTAACACAAACACACAGGGCCTAAAGATTTCCAGAGTGATTTAAAACTTGTTGCTTGGTGTTTTTCTTGAGGCTATTCCACTTTGGGATGTGCTAAACTTTAAAGCACCATCCTGCTAACCTTTCCCAGTTTGTCAGGTCTGCTTCTACACAATGGCGTGACGTGGTGGGAACAGTTACTTTTCTTAGGGATAGGGTGTGGGCTAAAACACAGAAAGACTGTTATCAAGATATTTTCATGTGATCAGTTTTAAAATTAAGGAAAGGCTTCATGCCAGAGCTTGAATCTGAGTATTTGCGGGGCTTGGGGTAATTGCTGAAATCTCTAGCTGTTTTCAGTGTGCCTTGCTGAGTGACAGGGAAAACACTGAAAACCCTGGCAGGTCTTGTATCCAGCTTTGCAGATCTCGGAGCTGATTTCTGTGCTTTTCAGCTGCATGTAGACTTCAGTTCATACTCAAACAGAGGGACTATTTGCTTTTCATTAGCTTATCCCTTCAGTTTTGACTGCTGACAGATATGGGATTGCATTTGTGACCTGCTCACAGAAATTCATGTTGAAAATAATGGTGTGTTAGAGTCATTTAAGACACTACATAGTCCTTTTATTTCTAAGTAATTTCAATACCTACAAATCAAGTTACCCACAGTGCTCTTTGCTGCTACTTATTAAATTGCTGCCTGCTGGTGCCAGGCTCAGTTGATTACGTGTCTGGAGATTGCCACTTCTATTGCACGCATTTTATCAAGGAAAAGCTCTGTTAAAGGTTCAGAAGTAGGCATGCGCCGTTTTTCACACAGGGTCATCATCTCTCTTTCCTCTTGCCCTATTTGTTGGCATTCCTGGTGCGGAGCCAGGAGATGTTTGTCGGTAGCCAGCGTCACAGCAGCAGGTGCTGGCACCATCAGGGAGCCTGTACAGGGGCTGGAGATGTGAGTCTGGCCCATCCTGGTCTTGGTTTAGCTCGAACTGACAAACCTTGCTGAGTAGGGCTTGGACAAAACCCGCTGCAGCAGGGCTTGAGCAGGATCTCCGTGAGTCACAAGTATGTACTGGGGCAGCATGCTTATGTTAAACCCTGCCCTGATGTGTTTTTTGGGAGATTCACAGGTAGCTCGACTGCAGCTGGCTTGGGTTTGCCTGCAGGTGCTGCTTTCTTATCTCCAGTTATATTGCCCAGTTCACCTCAGAAATGGGGGAAAAAATGCAAGTTAAGAAAATGTGTAGAAATAACATCAAAGTGATGTATCTTACTTGATCAAATACATCTTAAGTGAATTAAGTAGACTGTTTAATTTACATATCAGGTTGCTCTTGCTGGAAGAGTACAGCCTGTTTTCACATGCCTGTTTTGTATTGTAGGATCAACAAAGCATGAAGGTTGCCTAATGGCAGTGCAAGTACTTATCAGTAATTTCTTTTGTGTGCTTTTGACTAGTCCGTATTGCAAAAGACATAAGAAGTGAAGACATGACGTTTTTTGTTAACAACAGGATAACAAGATATGTGATGCTACCTAAAGAATACTTCCTAGTGTAAACAGCAAGTGTTATAAATATAAGTGTTATAGATTGCAGAATATAGCAAAACCAGCATTTTGGCTGTTTTCTCCTTACTCCTAGTCAGTTTTCAAATGTCACCTGCTGTGCCAAGGCAGCTCAGAAAGACATCTGCATTGCTACCCTGCTTGTGAAATGCAGCACTTCAGGTGATGTTGTTGAATGTGCTTGTATTGCTTTTATTCACCTACCTTACACTTCGATTTCTTTCTACTCTTCATTTAGTTTTGTTCCACTGGGACAGTAGAGTAGAATAGTTTAACACCAGTACATTGTTGGCGGTTAGTAATTTCAGAGCCATGTAACAAAAATGGTATTTAGCGAAAGGGAATCGTAGACAGATGAGATAACATCGCTTGTCACTCTGAATTCTTAGCCTTGTCCTGCAATTGTCAGCATTTTCCTGGACCATTCTCATTTTTGAAATTTGAAATTATGCACCATGAAGGCAGTTTCAGAATAAGGAATATATAGTCTGTACTTTTAAAATCAATATTTGAAGTTAATATTGTTGATATTTTAGAGTATTTTTATTTTAATATAAGAATAATTTGTGTCCTTGCTCTCAGGAAAGATGCCATGTGGGTTAAAATGAAGAAAATTAGAAATGAAGAAAATTAGAAATATATTGTTACATTTGGGTAATATATATATATATAATATATATTTTATATATATTATGTATATATTATATATATTATGTATTATATTATATATACTATATTGTTTTATATATATATAAATATATTGTTACATTCTCTTATTTTGACACCTTCATTTTACAATTTTCTCTTCTTAATTTCATCTTCCAGGCTCTATTGTATATATAAGCACTTGGGACTGTAAAAACCATGTACAATGAATTTTTAACACCAAAGAACAATTACATATCGATATAAAACTTAGAGGAGGGAAGAACCTGCAGACTTGCAGAAATACATTGCAGAATCTTGTTTGCAGAATTTTGCACTACTACACATAGAATACTTCTATTTCAGTCCAGCAAACCGCACATTAGAGTGTAGCACTCTAGAAGATCCTAGGGATAGATCATGCCAAAATATCTGAGATGGAGGATCATGTTACAATAATGAAATAACCAGATGTGAAAATTATATCATCAGCCTGTCACTCTGTTAATAGTTGTTTTTTTCCTGAATCAACCCTAAATGCATTCAGTGGAAAGCTTTTTCTTGGGCAAGTCTCTCCCCTTCTCTTGCACTACTCTTCTTGACTCTTCATTCAAATCTTCTGCTTAATACCAGTTCTTAAAACACATTTGCTTTGTAATGCTTTGCAATAGCCTTTACTTGGTAACCCTTTTACCTCTCTGGTTGAATCCATGGCAAGGCTATTACCCACTGCTGAGCTGGGACTGGAAAGGCTACTGCATCCCTCTCACTCTTTCCTTTAACACTTTGGGAGACATCATTTAATCTCTCTGTCCTTATCAGAAACAGGATAGCAATTTTTTTTAGTCTAGATTTTGATTTTTTTCTGTAGGGAGTTTCTTAGGGCATGGTTTGTATCTGAGGAAGTATTTACTCAATAGCTAGTATGACTGCTGTAAATAATTACAGAGATCCTAATATCTCCTCTGCCAGGACTCCAAATTGTTTTGTTATAAATGAATAAAACTTCTTTGACATGAGAAGGTATGCCCTGCAGAATAAGGATTATGTGTTTTAATTTGTATTCCAATTTTTATGGATTATGGAAAATGATTAAAAAACAAGGCTAAAAAATTTGCACAAGGTATTTTGGATTTCTTGTTTTTTTTCAAAAGAACTTTGCAAAGACATGAAGTTAAATATTTGCAGTGTAGCATGAAGATCAATATGTACATTATAATCACTCCCAAATAACACCGTGTAGATAATGCTTCTACTAAAACACGATGTTTTTACCATAACTGCTCTTTTCTGTTTGGGGAATGAACAACAGAACCTCCTTTGTTTGCTTTGGAGATCCCACTCCTTTTTTCTTTTCTTTTTTTTAACCTCTTTTTTTGTTGTTTATTTCCATTTTTTTGTTTGTTTAATTTTTATCCTTTGCAAAGTGCTGGAATGATGTCCTTCTGGACATTAATAAGTCACCCTTTCCAGAGAGTGATTACTCAGAGGACTCATAAAAATATTTACTGAGAACACAATTTAATGTTTCAGCAATGATCCAGTTTGTCTAAAATTGATATTACTTCTACATGATTGCATGTTATACTGGAGGATGCTCACCAGCCTTGGGTAGGCTCTGCTAGTGGGAAAGGGTAAAAGTTTGTTATTGTCAATAACAAATGTTTCCTGATACTTATGTCCAAATTATTCTGTACCTTGGAGGGATTTGGTGTATGATTTTGGTTCAGAGACATCTTTAGAAGCAACCAAAAAGGCAAATGTCTCTCAGGGATAGGAAAAAAAAAGCATTAATTAAAGTAATAACAACAGAGTACTGAGGTTTTCATAGATATGAAACTTGTACAATTCAATAGTAAACAATTGATCAGATTCAGAAAATTAAAAAGGAGAAAGCAATGCTTAGCAAAATAGAAGTAGTGTTTTGGGGACCTCTGAACTATAAAAGATGATGTGACATGGAACACTGTGTTTTTGTTGTTTGACTCAGTTACATTTCGAAGAACTGTCACTTAGCTGTGTATCCAGTTAAGTCCATCACTACTTTCCATTAAATAAGTCATGGAATCCTATACTCTAAAGAATCCCTTACCTCTTCAGAGTCATCATCATGGCTAGGCTTCGCGAACAAAGATTTGGGAAGGCTCTATCCACATTTGTTACAGACCTCTTCAGAGTATCACTCAGTTAATAGTCAATAAGGATGCAGAATCAGACCAAAGAAAACAGACACCCCTGAAGCCAGTTTCTGTTGTTGTCTGTCTGGAAAGGTGCCCTGTCAGAGAGGGGTTCAAAAAATTATAATTGAATAGTCATGCAGACAATACGTATATGTTTCAAAAATGCAAAGGATGAAATATTTTTTGAGTGAAATAATGTCATGGATTTTCTTAGAAGAATTCCAGTGCAGATCTGGCAGAAACAGCTAAACAGTAAAATTAGATGCTTCAACTTTTAATTGTCCTAAGTTTCCTTTACTCTCATCCCAGGTCTGCAAAGTGATTCTTTATTCTGTTCCTATAGGTGTACATCTACCTAATCTGAGAGAACTGAAGTTGAACAATAGCTTACTTGCGTCTGTGAGGTAAGAAATGAATGATTCTATGAAATAAGTATAAAGAATAACAGTCCACAATTTTATTCAAGTGGTAAAATCTTCATTTGTGCTGCTTTCATTTCTTCCATTTCTCCATGCTATGATAAGGGATTAGGTCATGTATATATGCTTGCTACTACATAAGTTTAAGGACGGGACCTGAGCTGGAATAAATCAGTGTAGCTGCAATGGTGTCAATGAATTAGCCCTAGTATGCCACCAGGGAAGTTCCTGCCATCCTGACATCCATGGAAATTTGTTACAAGTTTGAAAGGAGCTAAAAACTCACCTCTTATCTATGTCTAGGTGCTCAGATTTCAGAGTGTTTCAGCCTTTGGGCTTTTATTGTGCACAGTAGCCCGTTCTATACAGGTCAGACCAGTTCCTCAGCTGATGAAAATCGCTCTGGCTCTACTGCAGTTAATGAAGTTGGATTTATAAAAGCTGCTATGCAGACTGCATGTCCCTGGCTTACTGAGCTTCATGAAATCGTCACCTATCTTCTCCCAGACAACTGGGGAGTTGGTTGGTTGGAAAGGAACAAGTGAAAACCATCACAATGAGGAAGAAGAGCTGTCTTTTCTGTGCTGATATCTGTATTACCCTTGGTAACTAATGCATAGTGGAAAACTGCAGTTCATATCAGGAAAGGGCTGTGTAAAAGGCCATCTTTATTTTAAGCAGGACTGCCCTCTGGCTTTTTGTGGCTATCTGCTAAATTTGTGGGGGGAAAAGGTAGTGGTTTAGCCAATTCTTGTTAAAGAGAACATGTTTCCTGATAAGAAATGGCAATAAATTCTTTTTGGTCTCGCTAAAGTTGCTAATGAACTTCAGTTGTCACAGTTTGATCTTATTTTCCCTTGTTCTGGTGATGAGAGGAAGTATCTGCAGTCTAAATTTTGCTTTTGCCACCTTCTAGTCTGTAACATCTAAAAGTGCTAATTCTACATTGCTGCAATTATTTTAATAGCAACCAACCATTGTCATAAGCATGAAATTGCTCCGTTATTGCAATGGAGGAGTAAGTGGTGTGTAAAAAAAATTACAATTTTGACAATATCAGAAAATATTATACTAAAAAGCAAAAAAGTTAAAAAGTGTTTCTTAGTTTGGTCAAAAATCCATGTTCACTTTAGAATGCTGCAATGGTATTGGTACTGAATATAGAATGCAGTTCAGGAAAGCTAAACTGTTTGACTGCTGTTAGCAGGATTCTGCAGCTCCATAGTCTGAGACTCTAATTTGTGTCATGAGACATTCTGGCAAACCATTTTCTTTGACCTGATATTTCTGTGGGTTTTTGATGCAGGTAATGTTTGGTCTCAAGTTGAGGTTTTATTTGACCCACTATAATGTTTGGGCTTGGATATCAAGTCTAATATTGTGATGATTCCCAGGCACACAAATCCCAGGAGAAGCTACCTGCTTCTCTTTTAAATAAGTGTCCTTTCTGTGTGCCAGTTAAATGCAATTTTCAGGGAATAGGTAAAGGAAGAAAAAAACGACTTTGTTAGCTCTCCCAGACTTGAACTCATTCAGTATAGTTACAGCAGTAGCTTTCCTTTATTAATTCCCATCTTTGACAATCTGTCATTAATAACACATATCATTTAAGGGCACATCCATGCAGGCACAGCCTGGCTACTTGAACTTTATTTTTGGATGTCTGCATCATGTCAATTTAATGCCCATTAAAGCGACGTTGCTGCTACAGCAGTGGTGATGCCTGCTGTAGCTAATGTAACATAGCTGCTTCCATTCAGCAAGCTGTTGCCATTTATTCCAAAATTTAGAAATCTTATTTCTGAATCAATCTTGCTGATATTTGAATTCTGTCCAAAAAGTGATTGTTTTGTTGTATTCAACCAAACCCTTGCAACTGAGGCTTTTGAGGGTGATAGGAAAAATTGCTCTTCCTTCTCACTCAGAGTAATTCCCTCAGCCATAAGGTCAGAATCATTGTGGTTGTAATTTGAAAATGGGCAGCAGATAACAGGAAGCAGCTCATAGGATCAGACTGTAAGATTGGATTGTTTACTAAAAAGAAGGTAAGGACAAAAAAAGCAGGCAAAAGATAGAGGGTGTTTTTTACATACTTGGAATGTTAAAAGCAGACATTCTTTTCATGCTATTTTATGTGAAAAAAACGTATTATTGTGAATTATTATGAACAAAAGACTGTGTGCATACACGAGTGGGTAATAAGATAGGAAACTTTGTTTTTTGACACTCTATTTTTGTTTAGTTTTGTCTTGCAGAGTAGAATTACCTAATTACTTTAGGATGAAATGGAATTAAAACATGTATTTTCATTTTGAAAATGTGGAAAGAATTGACTTGATAGTAAACAGGATAGAGGGAGATGTCAAAATGAAGATTTATGATCCTGACTTTAGTTTTTGAGATGTTTACTCCTGTCAGCCTCACATGGGAACTTAACTTGTGAGGATGCTGAGGTGTGCGTTGCCATTCACCATTCAGTAGAAATCAAAGGAGGGATGTTCTGACAGTGAGGAATCAAGGTATTCATGTATTACAGTTTTCTATGGGAGAGCAAGGCTTGCTAGGCCAGTGAATTTGGATATTGGCTTCTCCTGGTAGTTTCTGAAGAAGTTCTGATTCCTTTCATGGGGAATGTGGTTGAGCTACTTCAGTTGTCAATTCATAGTCCCTCCCCAGTCTTCCTAAAGCTTGCATTACTTTTGAATACTTGAAACTTCAAAAGACTATATGTAAGTGTAGGATATCATTATCAACTATTTAATTTAATCCATAAGGAAAATATATCCAAGTTTATTTGCAGATAATCATTCTTGGCCGTTGAAAGGGAATTTCTTTTTTGGCTGTTTCTGAGTTTTGGTTTTCTACTGGCCCTTCGCTAAAGGCGAACAGCTCTGGAAAATCCAATCTACTGTGAAAAGAAATTAGTTCATATTGTTGTTAATTTTCTAAATCACAATAATTTTATTATGTCCTTTTTCGGTGACCTTCACCCCTCTGCTAGCAGCTGAGAAATTCTAGATTTATGAACTGATAATCGAGGATGAAAAGTCAAACCTATTCTGAAGAGTGCCTGTTAAAATCTGCCTTCCTTTTTTTTTTTTTTTCTTTTTGTGTGTGTTTGATGACCACGGTCCTCATCTTTGTAGTGTTTCCAGGAAAAGAACTATATTTCAAGGCCAATGAATTACTACTTCTGCTTTGGCACATAGCCTATATATTTTTTTATCAGATTGCTTTTATTCTCAATTCAAGGATGAATGAAAAGATCTGTTTAAAAATATTTAGATAGATATCTTTACGAAAGGGCTTTTAAATCAGATAAGGGGAGCTTAGGAACTGGTTCCCATAAGTTTACAGCAGAAGCTGTTTCACCAGCTGAAGTTCATTTCCTCCTATTCAGCTCTACACCTTGTAGCCAGCAGAAGACTGATCTGCTCTCAGGGCTACTTTAGCAACTGCTTGTAACAGGGAGAGGTCATAGTTTAAGTGAGATGAAGTGCAAAAACTTCAATATGTGGGGACAGAAGTGATATAAGTAAAGGAAAGCAGATATTCTTTATCCAGGTAGAGTTAACATTTCATTGCTGCAGTTCTCAAATTGGTCTGGCACTATTGCAGAAGAATCTCCCAGAACAAGAGGGCAATAATTTTGGTCCATTTCAATCAGTAAAATCAACAGAAAGTTCAGATGAACAAGGTGCAGATTACATTCAAAATTAACAATTCTCATGCTTTTATGAGCCTTAGGGTATTTGTTTTGTTTTGTTTTTTAGCACCAGCTCCTGGAGACAAGGCTACCTACACAGGAATCTCTGTATTCACTTTTTAGAATGTTTTGAGCCCTCTTGGCTGTGAAAAAAATAACTGAAAATGTGAGCCAAGTGATTTAAGTAAGGGTTTTGCTGATCATTTCATGACTTTAAGAAACCAGAGGCAAATAAATTCTTTCTTAATTAAAGGCAAGGGCTTTAAAGTAGTGTTTAAAAATATTTTTAGACCTGAATCAAGATCTTTAGGTATTTGAACTTAGCAATATAACTCCTTGGTACTTATCCAATGAAGAGTTTAAGGAAATGTGCACCTCTTAAAATCACACAAAGTTTGCCTTCAGTGGCATTGCTCACAAGCTGAAAATTAAAAATTGATCCAAGTGCTTTGCTGGATCTGGGTCAAGTTACACCATCTTGTATAAGACTGAGCTGTGATACTTATCACCCCGAGCCTTGATGTATTGCTGATACTGTGTGTCTAAGGCACCAACTATTTGCTGGATGATTTTCCCTCAAACAGGAGAAATGTGGGGGCATCATTCCCCTAAATTTGCTTTTTTCCTTGTCATTTTTACTTATTCCTTTCCTTCCTGTCTCTTTTTTTCCCCCTCCAGTTTGCTTTTTCTTCTACCTGTCCTTTCTAATCTTTTGCAATTACTATGTTTGATGCATGTAACACAGGTACCACACATAAATACGAGTTTTATGCAACAAGGATCAGCATTGTTTTTATGATAGATAAAATCCAAAAATATTTTCTAAAATCAATTCAGTTGCTTAGTTTGCATTAAAGGTGCAAATTTTTGTCAACAGATGATTCATCTGTATTACAGTAGTTTCTTACAGTGTTTAGTGAGGGATCAGGGTCCTCTTGTTCTGGGTTGTACTTACACGTGCTGTCAGAGAGCCACTGCTCTGATTTGGTCTGGGTGAATTGCTTCATGCCCTTATTTCAGTGCCCAGAGCATCACTGTTTATTTTCACATTTGCATTCCAGGGTGGGGAAAGTATTTAATTTCAAATGCAAGCTAGTTTCTGTAAGAAGTGTTTCTGTTACTTCTTTTGTGTAGCCAGCCTGAAAGTCCTTCAGTGGTTAAGGTTGCTGTGAAGTCTCTCTTAAGAACATGTTCTTTGAGGAATTTGGGTGCTTTCCAGGAACTAGGAAAGCATTTAAATTGAATCTTAATCTCTGTATTAATGAGTCTTCTCTGTATT